GGATGGTTTATAAGGGGAAAAATATTTGCATTACAAGCAAATGCATGTTTTCTAATTTCTACAAGCTCTTTTATGAAAATAAGGAATGTTATTAGTACTTATGATAACTTAAATCGAAATAACATCGTAAGTGTGACATGATTTATCAGCATTAATAATTCCGCAACCAGTTTGGGTTGAAAAAACAGTCTGAAATACCATTTTTTTAATACTTCAAGATGACGGCAAGAATTTCATTTTCGGAAATCGTACCTCACTATTAAATCAGGAAAACCATTTCATCATTAAGATTTTGATTTCATAAAAAATATTCTTTGAAAACTTGCATTATTAAAAAGTTTGAAACGTTCTTTTTTTAGTCAAGGCATTTTCATCAGTGAATTCATTTATAAAGTGTAAAGTTTAAATTTTATGCAGATAACTACCATAAGCAGTTACCAACTTCACAAAAGTAATGTGCCATAACTTACTTCGTTATCTCACTGACATATATCTGTAGATAGAATTATTTATACAGCATCAGAGGGTAAAAACTAAAGCAGAAGTCAGTTTTTCCAAATAAATTATCAATAAACGATTATCAGACTCCAATGATAAAAGTGATCTTATACAGAGAATCAAATAGAAGCTTGAACAGTTCACAGAATTTCGAGATCTCGGAAAATATCTGAATATTTAGGCAACCAAAGAGGAAAGGGAAATGACGGAAATTTCAGAGTTAATAAAACTCAGAACAATTCCAACAATTTTAGAAGTAGAAACGAGATAAGCATTATAAAAAAAAATCAGAAGATAAAGAAGTATACCGTTTTCCTGAAGATACAGAATTTAGGAAAGCAGTATTAAATTTAGTTAAGTCTCAAGACCGGATATTACGAACTCAACCAGAGAGCTCAGAAACTAGAAAGCTTACTAGTACTTGACTGGAAATCAGTACGATCTTTTGGTATTTCAAATATAAATCAATTAGAAATTATGAGCTAGCTTAGTTATAAATAGATTCATTTGGAAAATCATTGGTTTGGAATAAGTTTATAAAGTTTATTTAAGGTCTGACTGAGCAAGAAATGGAAACGAAACTAATAGAGATTAACTTCCAAATGAATATAACTTAAAATTCTTTAGCATCGTAAATAAAAAAGTAACATCGATATACAGGGTGTATCAGTACAGAGGTGACAAACTTTCAAGTGAAATAGAGCACACCTAGACGATGGGAAATTACACAGCAATGCATGGTCGGAAACGCTTTCCTAGCACGGTATTGGCAACATCAAGAAAGGCCCCGAACGGGGTGAGAAAACATGTTTATTATTCGGAGTACAATAAAAAACCAACAAAAAAACTACATAAAGAGACAATGATCGTCATCAAAGGTGTTCGAAATTACGACACGGACCGTGACGCAGGAGCCGTGCGTCATGCATCTTCTATGCGATCTTCCATTTGTGATGCAGATCTTCCATGAGCCGGAGAAGTGAGGCCTGCATCACGGTCCGGGGTCTTAATTTCGAACACCTTCTTTAATAACAATCGTTGTTTGTTTTTATTATTATTTGTTGGTTTCTGCTGTACTAAGCATAATAAAACACGTTTTGTCTCACTGTTTGTGTCCTTCTTTTTTTTTTTTTCGTTTTGTGTCATCACTACCGCGCCAGGAAAGCGTTTCCGGCCATGCGTTGCTATGTGATTTCCCATAATCTAGGTGTACTCTGTCTCTCCCGAAAGTTTCTCACCGCTGTACTGATACACTTTGTAGGTAATTGTGTTCATATTTGATGCAATACTTCATACTTTTAAAATTTCTGTCTGTATCCAAACTTTCAAAAAAAGTTCACCACTTTATTATAAATTTGCCAGATATAAGACTTCCAATAAAGACTTAATTATCTTTAGATTCGTTATTATTAATATTAATTTTACTCTACTAGAGTCATATGATTGCATACATCTAATAGGCTAATAGGTCTTCGATTTTATTTTCTTTCCCTCTCAACCCCACAAAAAAAAAAAAAAAAAAAAAAAAAAAAAGAGGGGAAGAGAATGGATATTTTCCGAGTTTTATCTTTTAAACAGTTTTTAAAGTTTAGCATCATATGCCTTCAGAATTAATATTTTTCGGGTCAAAAAAGGAATATGTATATTTCGAATCAAAAACTGAATGATAGTTTTCGAATTCATGATATCGTAACGCATTTTCTCGTCTTTACCGGGTGCCTCCGTGGTGCAATTAGAAGCAGTTACAATCGGCTGGTAACCGGTAGGTCCGAAGTTTAAATCCCTGGGAAGGCATTGGTAAGTTTTCCTGCTTAAACAAATCTAAGTACACTCAATAACTGAATGCGCACGACCTGAACTATGGTGGACGATAATTCGTCGCCTCCTGGATTGGGCGACTGTGTCCCTCCTCCTCAGTCACCTTTTACATGCGGAAGAATATAAGGTATTTTCTCTCTCCTTACCATGTAATTTCGTGGTGGGATTGAAAGCACGTCCGACTTGCACTCGAGAGGTCTAAAGTTCGAATCCTGGCGACGGCACTGCTAATTTCTCTTATTTTTTTGCTAAAAAATAAACCTAATTATTCTATTTTTTAAGCATCGTAACCTTTTGAAGTTCATTAACGAGCTAAACTCGCATCCCAGTTGCACATCGCAATGGGTGCTGCAAAACAACAGCTTGCATTAAAAATTTACAACTGACAAATATCGCACGTGTTTGGGAAGAAAGAATTGCTTAATCTTGCAACCGCCGAAGGGTTAATGTGTGTTACGAAAGGTAACATGTTAACACTGTTAGCCATTAGTTTATTCTGCATCGATGTGTTCTGCATCGCTAATGCAGTACAAATAACCCTGCCCGAGTTCTCATTCTCAACTCTGTAAAGACCCTGAAACGCTCAATTCTATTACCCTATCGTGAACCTAGAATTATAGTTATCGTAAGACCTAGAATTATAGTTTGCGTGACTGGAAAGGAATCTCTGTAAATGTCCTCGATTAAGCATGTTTACAACACAGGAACGGGAACTTCGTAGATATAAAAGGGTGAAGTTTTGCTGGTAAGGCGTTTTAGGTGTCTGCGGCCTCAGGACGTTTCTAATAAATCAAATTTCCGAATTCATTGATCCTTTCTGGTGACTGAATAATCTGAAAATGACGATACCATTCAACTGAACTGGGCAACAGACGCTCTACAATTCAGTTCTATTGAAAATGTCTGAGACTGCTGGGGATGTTGAGGTTCATCATGCCAGCCGTAGTTTCCAGGGGCTAAGACCCGACTTTGTAAAAGAATAGTGTAAACACTGCGGAATTTAATTTACAGTCCAATTGCTTCCACTGAAAACTGACCCTTCCTTACTTAAGCACTGCTTACCTATCGCACAGCTGAGCGTTTCTTACTTGCTGCGCCATGGCAACTGGTTTTATTAAGCGTAATCGAGAAAACGTGACTTGTTCCTTTTTATTTTTTGGAAGGGTATTCACGCATATTTTTCTCTACGCCGCTAGTATGCAAGATAACGGCATAGATATTGTATGTATACCATTAGCTAATGCAATTTTTATTAGAAAATATATAATCTTAAATTTCTGAAAACTATCACCAAAGAAGAAATATTAATCGTTCGTTTAAAAATACTTTTACAGATTGTATAACTGTAATATAAAAAGTATAAGATAGTAAAATTAATTACAAATGAGAGAGCTATTTGAGAAGACATATTAAAATGAAACTATATTAGAAGAAAAGTATTTTCCATCTTTGGCAAAGTATCCGTCTTTTGAGCGAAGCATAGTAAAGAACACGCGTGGGATTGGAGAAGCTTTTAAAGAACAATGAACACATTATATGTATTTTCCTTCGATGTAAAACTAAAATTTTGGAATTTTATCGCCTGGAATATGTATAGAATAACGCCATAAAAAGTGATTCGGTTATTCCATTGGACTGTGTTACCTCTGGAAGTAATGCAGTTTATCATTCTGACTGACATTTTCTCTAGGTAGAAAAAAGTGTACGTTTATCATCCGTAGTTTTACTATTAAAACAGGAACTCTCAGCCAGTTAAATGGTTAAGCAAGCTTCGCATTTCCTTATGTTATATTATTGTATATGGAGACTTTACATAGATGTTTTTACTTCAAAAAGGGTATAAGTAGCTGGCAAGAAGCATTAAGATCACGTTATTTCTGACCTTTTGGACCTTAATCTATTTTCCCTTGAAACTTTTATGACCCTTAAAACGTCCTGCAAAAGATTGCTAAAGAATCGCATTTCAAGAATTAACTCAAAAATACAGTTCATTCCTTACCCTACTAAGGTTCATTTGTGGTGTAACGTTAAAAAGTTTCTTGCCACAGCTTCACATGTATCTAAATTGCACTTTTCCTTCATTACTTTTAATGCTATAGGAAAAATGTGTTTTATTATACTTACATCTTGTAATAGAAATATCTTTCGAATTTTTATCTTGCGTACTAACTATATGTATTCATATTCTTACCTTGTTCATTTCTCATAGTAAAAAAATCAATACAAAAGGAAGTGATACGTATGAACAGGATATTAATATTTAAAAATTAACTAAAGGCTTAATATTCTATTGAAGATACTTAAAATACACTTTACAGGTACTCTTTAGTACAAGGATCTTTGGTATATTATAAAAATTATAATAAATTTTAGACATATATAAATAAAGTACCTTGGATTTTACTAATGAGTGTTTAAGAAATAAAGAACTAAACAATTTTTCCACATACAACGTGAAGTTAAATTTAATTTTATTTGAATAATTGTCATTTTTTTAATGCATTTCCCTCTTATTTTCCAAGAAATATTTCAGACGTGTGATAGAAGTAAGAAGAATTAAGTAGTTAATTAATACTGAAATAACAGAAATTAAACTTGTAATAATTGATTTGCTACCTTTTTTTCCAGCTTGCTGTATTATACTATTGTAATCATATAATGATTTCTAAAAGTTACTAACTTACCAACACGACTCACGCAGGCCTTCGTCAACGTTTTGTTCTTCGTTCACATTTTTTGATATTTCAATTAGATGTCTGTATTTTGGTGCGCACTTTTCTTCAGCCAAGGAAATGTTTTTGAAGCAGGAAGCGTGAATTAGATAAACTGGAAAAAAATCTTTATATTTAATTCATTTCTTAAATTTTATTTCAGTATTTATACACTCGTTATAATATAATGAGGACTAAAATACATTCAACATTAAATTCTGTTGTATTATTCGCTAAACAGATGCAACTATTTATCTTAAAAATTCAGTTTACGTTCTCATTAAAAATTTCAGTTTTCAACGAAGAAAAATGTGTAGTTAAATGTAAAGGAAAGTAAGAAACTAAGCATTAATCTGTAATTATTAGTCACTATATTGTAGCTAATTGCATAAAGTAAAAAACAAATAAATGATACAACTGTAAAAAGATGCATAGAAAACATAAACATTAAAATGGTAAAATTATTAAAGAAGATAAAATAAATATAATTTTGAAAGTAAATAATATGCTTAGCTCATTAATTTCGTACCAATTTATAACACAAACTACAAAAAAAAAAAAAAAAAAAAAAAAAAAAAAAAGCTAATAATTGCAAAAGTCCTTAAGATTTTCTGTCGGAACGAGTCTATAAAAACGAAAGACATTGAAGGAAAACTGTGAATCAAAGGTTGTATGATAGCTTATATAGAAATTCATAGTATCAGAAATAAATAAACAAATTTAAACAGTAACAGAAAAAGTTTGCCTGAAGACGCGTGAATGTAGACTTATGTCTAGACCCGATTAAGATCGCTGTAGAGTGATGATTAGTTGGTTGTCTGTGGTTTTATTTTATTGCAGTAACGTTATAAGGAGCACCTTGCTGAAAAGAAATACATCTGTAGAGGTTTTTTAAGGGAAATGGGCCCATTTTTACATCTGTTAAGGAGAAAGCACGAAAATATCCAAGCAGTCAGTATGCTCCGCAACTCAGAATCGAACCGACGTCCTTACCAGTGTACCTCCAATTTACCCGCTAGACTCCTCTTGAGCGGGACAGCTGTTTGATTATATATATTCTAACTTTTAGACACAAGTTTTCACTTCTTAGGAAAACTGAAGCGCTAATGCATATTGCTTTTAATTTGAGCAACTTCTAAAAATATGTGCAGAACTAAAATGCCGTGAAATATCCCTACGCGCGACTTTATTTTTTGATTTTCTTAGATTTCCGGACGACTAAATTTCTGATAGAAATAAGAAGTTCTTTTCATCGATTAATGCAATGCTGAAGCTTAGTCTGTATTTTGAGAGTTAAAGTGACACTTTTAACTCTCTGTCAAACATGTCTGATGTTTACGTAATACAATTCAGAATTCGATCGAAAAACGGATATGTCGCCTGCTGAGAATGCAAAATGCCACCTGGTATCCTGGGTTGATACGGCAAAGCGTCATCTCCAAAACTGATGCAAATTTTTTGTGAATTTTATGAAATGGAAACTTCAAGTCTTTCAATGCAGCAATGCAGAAATGCAGTTAGGTTATATCACCGATCTCTCAAACGATTCCAGAGATTTCCTCATAAGGAGTTATTAAATTATTAAAAACCTTTGCAAGGCTCAAAATTAGCATTTTAATTGCTCATAAAAAGTGCACTTCTATGATAACTGAATTCAGCGAGAATGAGGAGACAGAATGCCAGCAAGTGCTCACATGAGATGAGGTTTAGATCTAGAGTAATGTCCGATTATAATCTAATGGACACTTAGCATTTCTCTCAAGACAAACATAATGCTTACTGTGCATTATTTATATGTAGATATATTTAAGAATTTAATGTTATGGAATTTACACAGAAATGGATCTCATGCTTGAATTAATTTTCAACTATATCCCTTATGACTGAAAATCTCTTAAATGCCAAAGCTGCACACAAGTGTGTTCATGATTTGTCCTATGAGAGCACTTTGGAGGCTCCTGACTAGAACGAATATGGTACTTACTCACGCCTCGCACTAGATTTGTAATTCGATTGTCACAGCAAATGTTTGATTCTCATGTAACACGGATAATTAAACAAAGGCATTTTGAATTTTGAATCTGAAATGAGACATATTACGCCTCTTTTCTTGCTACTGTTTACCTCCTTCAAATTATTCGTAGAATAAGTTTCTGTGGAGGGAAATAATATGAACTTCTGCAAAATGAGGTGCAGGTGGTCATGATAATTTTGGGATTTAGCTTGATTACAAATTATTTTTTTAATATATGCCAGCGGTTGATAAACTTGCGTCCCATACAAAACTTATATATATATATATACAGCACTTATATATTAATTATAATAGTTTATAAGCTCTCTCTCTATATATATATATAATTTATAAATTCTATTGGTCAGGGTTATCAACCAGTGGAAATTTTCTAGTTTCAAGGGGTGGAATGCAGCCAGTTTTCTATTTACATATTAAGCATTTAGGTTTAGTTTATGGGTGTATAAAACTACTTTTATCCTAGGTTTGTCATTTATCAACATTTTCTGTATAGTATTTCTTTTCTAATTTTTAAACCACATTAAAAATAATTTAATTTTAAATAAATGTATTTGTATTTTTCGAGTTTTGGAAAGAATGGGGAGGGAGGAGATCGTCTAGCAATAGCAAAAGGGGTGTGCATGGGGCAAAAAGGTTTGAGAGCCACTTCCGTAGATTATATGTGTATATCTATCAATCTCTCTCATATATATATATATATATATATAGAAAGAGAGATATATATATCTATGTACTTATATATAATATATAGTATATCTATCTCTCACTCACGAGAAAAGAAAATTTCGATGATTAGAACACAATCGATTAGAGCTATGAACTATTTTAAGCTAATTTCATGAGAATGTATTAGAGCTACATTAATAAAATTACAATCGTTTTCTTCATATTTTTATAGAACTAAGCCATTAAGTTACCTTTTTGAGTATAGCAAAGCATGTTTTCAGTTATGAATTATGATTATTCAACCCAACCTAAATAAAGCCGTCTTTGCAGTTATAAAAGTTGCTGTCACAAGATATAAAAAGGCATTTACACGGACAACTAATCACATTCCTACATCTTCTAGCATGAAGCGTGAATAGAAAGCAAATGACCTGTGGTTTAAATTAGGTGAATGATTGCAAATTAAAACTGATGTGAAATTTATGGTATCAAAACATCTAGCAATAATCAGAGAGCTAGGACCTAGAAACATTGTCTTTGTCTTGAATATGAGTGAAACATGCAAGAACATTTTCTACATTGAACTGCAAACAATTCATAAATAGTATAGTTTAAATGAGAATATATCATTGTGAATTAAACAGGTTGCAATACATTCTGCAGCGTTCAAAAATGCCAGATTTATATAACAGAAGTTGGTATGTGAAAAATGTTAAAAATGATAATTAAAGAACCAAGGCACATTTTAAATTTTAATTCTGTAAACTTCAAGGGATTTAGATAGTGTTTATACAGTCAAGAAACTCAGAAATCAGAAAAGTCAGGAAACCCAGGATTTTCAGAAAGGAATTATTTGCATAATATACAAAAACCGAACAATGTGGATACTTTAGAACGTTCGCCCAACAACAAAAGTCGTAAGGGAGACAAGAACAACAATATGCGTTAGATTTATTATCTAGCCTACAGATCTAACTACCAATATATGCCATCCCACAATTCATTGCATTAAGTATGGATGACACTTCCACTACTTTGTAACAGAATGAAGGAAAAAAGGACATCAAGAAATACCTTGATAATTAAGTAGTTAATTAGGAAATCCGCTTCAAGCGCTTTTCTGAAAGCCAGCGAAATTTTCAAGATGGAGTGTTGTGAAATCCTGATGATTAGATAATATATGAAATAACAGAAACAGAAAAGAAAAGAAGAGCAAAATGAGGCACTTTGCCTAATCTTGATGATTAGGCAATGTATGAAATAACAGAAATGGAAAAGAAAAGAAGAGCAAAATGAAGCACTTTTTACTTAAAGCGAGTGCTTTGTTGTGAAAGAGAATGTCCAAAATAAAACAATTCATCACATTTATCCAAACAGGAAAAGAAGAGAATATGAGATTTGAAGTTACTTAGAATGAATCAAAAGACGTATGAATGTGAAGTGTGTTTCACTAGAAATATCTTTGTACCTGACAAGGTAAGATGTATAAGCTTATAAAATATAATTTATCAAAAATTCACATTCCAAATTGCAGGACTGATATCTTTATCAAAGAACTTGTCATCAACACAGTTCACGTAATCCTCTGTTAAGCAAGTTTAAAATTTCTTAAGCAGATCAATATTTCATTATACCATAAAAGTGCGTCAGTGGTAAGCCTTAAGAAATTATTGAACTATGTAGTTTCTTCAGGTCTCTGTCATAGCAATGGTTCAGGATGGAGATATATTTATACAAAATAGACTATTATCCATAGCCTATTCTGTATAAATATCCGACTTTGGTTCACATCATAGAAAGTATAAAATATATCTCCGACTTTGGTTCACATCAGAAGTCGACTTGGTTCACATCATAGAAAGTATAAAATACGTAGTAGTTAGTAAATGCACTAAAGAAATGATTACTCAGAAGTTCAGATCTCTCAGATTTCCTCCTTTTATAACTATCCTACGTTAAACCCGATTATTTCCGAACTTCTATATTCTTTTTTGTAGTTTTTTAAAACGCAAAAATCAGGCCATCTTAAGATATTAAACCTAAGAACTCACCTTTACTCATTCTTTGATTTAGGTCTAGTTTAAATTTATTAAATACACTTTACCACGGCTTCAAGAACTTTTATATGCTTCAATTTATAGAAAATTTAGAATGTATGTTCGTACTTTTAGGATTTATTCTAATTTAGAACAACTGCAATTTTCTTGGAAAAGCGAAAGTGAGATATAATTTATTCTGCAACTGTAAAAAAAATTATATGCGGTTATAATATGATACCGCTATCAGGAAATTTTAAAAGTGAAATCTCAAATTCTTTTCTTAAGTTCTCATTTCATTTATAATCTTGTAAGATCTGCCTCTTTGATTCCACATAAACTAAATTAGATTCCACAATGAATCTGACGAATTCTCGC